GGCTATCTCAACTTTTCATCTTGAAGGAGAAGAGATTTCCCTCTGGCCTGCTCTGGACACGGATGGGAGAGGGTGCCAACTGGAGATCGTTACCTCCCCACCCCCTCTCCGTGTGAAAGGCACCTGGGGTCAAAAGCCACCAAGCCACGATCTGTCCCTCGTGATGAAGCATGGGAGTGTGTGTATGTATGTGAGTGTGTATGTGTGTGTGTGTGTGTGTTTGTGGTGCATGTGCAAGAGAAAGAGAAACATCAATTCTCTTGTCAGCGTTGCATCTTTTGCGGCTGGATCGTTGGTCACCTCCACAACAATGTGTTCCCTTATATAGTGCCCCAATGTGGCAATTGGCGGAAACAAAGGTTTCCGATTACCTAACTGCTGGTGGTGTGCCTGGCGAGATCTCTTTCTCCCTGTAGAGGAACAGAAAGTGCTGCTGCACTCTGTGGCTGGGTAAACTCCACATACACACACACACACCACCTCCGGCTTGGTGAACATGGGGGGCAGGCCCGCCTTTCAGCGTTATGCAACCATGGCAAACTGGCAGCCTGGCATCTTGCTGGAATTGCGTATGTCTAATTTCATGAAAAGAAGTCAACGACATGATAGCAGGGTTCCAATATCTAAGGGAACCTTGATGAGGGAATAGAAGGGGAACTTACCAAATTTGCAGATGATACTAAGCTGGCAGGAATAGCTAACACCCAAGAAGATAGGCTCAAGATCCAGGTGGATCTTGACAGACTAGAACACTGGGCCGTATCTAACAAAATGAAATTCAATGTAGAGAAAAGTAAAGTCCTCCACTTAGGCAAGAAAAACCAAAAGGAGCCATATAGACTGGGTGAAACCAGGCTCAATAGCAGTAGCAGCTAGAGTACTGCATCCAGTTTTGGTCACCACACTATCAAAAAGATGTTGAGACTCTAGAAAAAGTACAGAGAAGAGCAACCAGGATGATGAGGGGACTGGAGGCTAAGATACACAATGAATGGTTGCAGGAACTGTGCCTGGCTAGTCTAGTGAAGAGGTGGACCAGGGGAGACATGATAGTGATCTTCCAATATTTGAGGAGCTGCCACAGAGAGGAAGGGGTTAAGCCATTTTCTAAAGCACCTGTAGGCCATGCAAGGAATAATAGATGGAAACTGAACAAGGAGAGATTTAACCTGGAAATAAGGAGAAATTTTCTGACAGTGAGAACAATCAACCAATGGAACAGAAGTGGCCTTCAGAAGTTGTGGGAGCTTCATCGCTGGAGGCTTTCAAGAAGAGATTAGACTGCCATTTGTCAGAAATGGTGTGTAGGGCTTCCTGCTTGGGTGGGGGTTGGACTGGATGACCTACAAGGTCCCTTCCAACTCTGTTAATCTGTTAAGTCTGTTACAAAGCAACGAATGGACATTAATTGAAGAGAGACCCAACATAGAATTAAGGATAAATTTCCTGACTCTTCCATAAGGTTCCCCAATTAGTACCACAGAATTTCTTTCCCAAATAGTGAGTCGGCTCAGAGGAAAGCAGAGGCTGTGGGAAGTCAAAAGGTCCAATGTAACCCTCAGGAATTGTGTTATTACAATAGCCATTAAATCCAATGGAGAGAAACGTAAAGTTTTACATTTAAGCAAGAAAAACCAAATGTCCAAGGATAGAATAGGTGGTACCTGGCTCAACAGCAGTAACTGTGAGAGGGATCTTGGAGTCCTTGTGAGCAATCACTTGAATATGAGCCAGCAGTGTGCAGCAGCAGCCAAAAAAGCCAACACAGTCCTAGGCTGCATTAAAAGAGAGATAGAATCTAGATTACGTGCAGTGTTAATACTACTTTATAATGCCTTGGGAAGGCCACACTTGGAACACTGCATCCGGTTTTGGTCTCCACGATATAAAAAGGTTGTTCAGACTTGGGAAAGAGTGCAGAGAAGAAGAGCAACAAAGAGGATTAGGGGACTGGAGTTAAAACCTATGAAGAATGGTTGCAGGAATTGGGTACATCTAGTTTAATGAAAATAAGGATGAGGGGTGACAGGGTAGCAGTGTTCCAATATTTGAGGTGCTGCCACAAAAAAGAGGGGAGGTCAAACTATTCTCCAAAGCACCTGAAGGCAGGACAAGAAGCAATGGGTGGAAACCAATCAAGGAGAGAAGCAACCTAGAACTAAGAAGGAATCAGAAGGAGCCTGCACTTGTCGTTTCTGCCCCTTCCTTAAATGCAGTGTCAGTGGCTTAGGGCAGCTTTAATGAAAACCCTTGAATTTAGTGATATTTAGTGACTGTTTGAAATTACAACGGCACCGAAAAAAGTAACTTATGTCCAATTTTCACAGTGACGACTGTTTATAGCAGGGGCCTTCAAACTTGACAGCTTTAAGACTTGTGGACTTCAACTCCCAGAATTCCTCCTCCAGTCATGTTAGCTCAGGAATTCTGGGAGTTGAAGTCCACAAGTCTTAAAGCTGTTAAGTTGGAAGACCCTTGGTTTACAACATCCCCTGTAGTCAAAGGATCAAAATCCAGACACCTGGCAATTGGCTTATATTTATGACCGTTGCTGCATCTCAGCATCATGTCGATCCCCCTTTAGTGACCTTCTGACAAGCAAAATCTATGGAGGAGCCAGATTCATTTAACAACCGGGTTGCTAACTGAACCATTGGATTGATTCACTTAACAGCTGGGGCATGAAATGTGGAACAATGGGGCAAAACTGTCTTGCTTTATAACCAATTTTTTTGGGGGGGAGACTCAATTGTGCTTGTAAGTCGAGGATTACCTAGATGGCGCTGCATTTAGTTCAACCCTTGATTGTCCCATTAGAAATTATTTTTTGTAGGATCCTAGCATTAGAAGAGGGCACCTGGGCCATTGAATGATTAAAATGGTTCTTTTCTTTTCACTGTGTACTGTCTGTATGGGGTGGAGGGAGGGAAAGGGTTTAAGAGTCCCCTTTATTTAGAGTCAAAAGGGGCCATGGAGGTAATCAAGTCTAACTAAGCAGGAATCCAGTTTTGAGCATCCCAGATTGATGGTGTCAAACTTCAGTTGAACCCACCCAGATGAGAACTGCCCATTATTTCTTGGTCCTTGGCTCAGGGGTGGGATACAACAGGGTTAACTACCAGTTTGGAATTTACGAGCATCCCTGCACGCTGTAAGCTGCATGCCTGTAAATCATCATCAGCATGCTGTGTGCAGAGACGCAGCCTTTGAAACAGCCCTCTTTTCCTGCTGCAAGTTCGGCAGCTGAAGTTGAAAAATCAGGAAATAAAGGTCAGGTAAGAGCCCAGTTGGGCGGGTGGGCAAAAACGTCAGCAGACATAGAACCGGTTCTATGTCTGCTGCTCTTCAGAGCTACCGGTTCTACAGAGGTGGACAGAACCAGTAGAAACCCACCCCTGCCTTGGCTCCACCATCAACTGATGTTGCTATTAAAAGGGAATTTTCTCCTCTTAAAGGGAATCTGATATAAGAAAGATGTTGAGACCCTAGAAAAAATGCACAGAAGGTTTCATATGTGGTGGTCCTCTTCTAAAGCAAAGAAATTCTGGAATAAAATAAGGATCTGGTTGCAAGAAATAATTGGCTCAAAAATAGAGCTTAAGCCTGAAATGTTCTTATTAGGGATAATCAGAAGCAAATATAAGAAAGACACTGAATATATAATAATACATATACTAACAGCAGCTAGAATAACGTATGCCCAAAACTGGAAATGAGAGAGTAGTCCCACAGATAATATGATTATAAAGAAAATTATGGATTATGCAGAAATGAATAAACTTACAATGGAATTGCAGGAGAAGGAAGACAAAGTATATTATACAGTCTGGGAAAAATGGTATGTTTGGTTAGATAATAGGAATAAAAGATAATGCAAAATGTAAATATAAATTTTATATGTATGTATGTATGTATATATGTATATATATGTATGTATGTATGTATGTATGTATGTATGTAAATGAAAATGGAAAAGTCAATGCCACAAATTACTGCAAAAATTGTATATATGATTTGTTTTTAAAAGTGTAAAAACTTAATAAAAATATTAAAAAAAGAATGAAAAAGTGCAGAGAAGAGCAACCAAGATGATAAGGGGATGACGACTCAAACATATGAAGAGTGGATATGTCTAGTCCAGCGGAAAGAAGGACTAAGAGAGACATGACAGCAGTGTTTCAGTATTTGAGGTGCTGCCACAAAGATGAGGGGGGAAAAACTATTTTCCGAAGCACCAGAAGTTAAGACAAGAAACAATGGATGGAAAGTAATCGAGGAAAGAAGCAACCTGGAACTAAGGAGAAATTTCGGAACGGTGAAAACAATTAACCAGTGGAACAGCTGGCCTCCAGAAGCTGTGAATACTCCAACACTGAAGATTTTAAAGAAAAGGCCAGACAACCATTTGCCTGAAATGGTGTAGACCCTCCTGGTGGAGCAGGGGTTGGACTAGATGGCCTCCAGGGTCCCTTACAACTCTGCTCTTCTATGGTCTATAGAATAGACCCTAGATCCTTTATTCCATGCCCTCTGAAACAGCAAAATCTCTACCAGTATTTTGCTTAGAGTGGTGAAGACGGGAGGTAGTTGGAGAACGGTGGTTATAGATTACAAATAGAGAGCTTTTGGGCCGAGTCTGGGGTTTAGGAGATATTTGGTCAGCAAGCGGGAAGGAAGTTCCTACCCAGGTCCAAATACAACCTCTCAAGGAAAAAATGAGACGCTGAACTGCTCAGCACCTGTTCAGCTCTGTTTGCAGACTTATAATTTACTTCACTGATTCAAATATTGATCCATGAGATAACAGATGGGAAGCTCTTGACTTGAACATAGTGGAAGTGCTAACTTAATCTTCTCTTTCTCCTTCTCCTTCTCCTCCTCCTCCTCCTCCACTTCCGCTTCCTCTTCCGCTTCCTCTTCCCCTTCTCCTCCTCTTCCTCTGCTTCTGCTTCCGCTGCTCCTGCTTCTCCTTCTCCTTCCCCTTCCTCCTCCTCCTCCTCCACTTCCTCCTTCTCCTCCTCTTCTTCCTCCTCTGCTTCCTCTTCCTCTTCTCCTTCCTCTTCTCCTCCTCCTCCTCCTCCTCCTCCTCCTCCTCCTTCTTCTCCACCTCCTCCTCTTCCTCCCCCCACCTCCCTCCACATTCTTGGGTTATTTCCAATGTTGCAGTGAATCTGAAAAGTATTTCAGGTGTTTTTCCCCCCATTTTTGTGGTTATACAGAATTGCAGTCCCCTTTTTTCCTGGCTGGAAGTTGTTTATGGAATGCAAAACTTTCCCGTGAAATTGAGATTCTTAGGGCAATGGGGCGTCTTTAGGCTCCCCCTTGGGTTTTCACACACACGTATACACATTCACACACAGATATGATCTTCAAGACCAAAAATGACTCCAAAAGCCTTATTGGGTCACACATGGCTTTATCCAAGCCACAGCTGCCAGCTGTGTACTGTATGAAAAAAAAAGAAAAAAGCAAATGTGTTAAGATATAGCTAATCATCTAGGAAGATAAGCTTCCTTTTTCTTTTCTTTCTTTTTTCTTCCTTTCTTTAGCTTGGAATGAAGGGGACATCTATAAAGCCATGCCCAGGTATTAACAAAAGTACATCTCTTCTCACAATGTGAGAAGTCATCCACTGGAACAAAGCTGAGAAAGGTGTAGGGAAAAAAAAACTTTCCTATCCAATACAGTGTTAAATACTGGAGTTTTCTAGCACAAGCTGGGTGGCTTTAACAGAGGACTGGAGGATCAGGCTATCAGTGGCTACAAATATTGATGTTTATTGACTACCTGTTCTATCATGGAAAGAGAATTGTGGAAGGGACTAGCCTTCTCTACTTCAGCCCATGAGTTTCCCAAATGCATTTAGTTTGCCTTTGGAACAGAGAATACTTGAGTAGATGTTTTCCAGATTGCTCCAATACAACCAGTGATGGGTCTGAAAAAGTTCTCCTACCGGTTTGGTGTGAGCACATGCTTTGCACGTGCCAAATGCGCACTTTGCACATGCACCAAACACCCACTTTGTGCATGTGCAGCATTTGCAACTCACCTTCTGCTCAAGCCCTATGTGTAAAACAGTGGACGTGCGGCAATCAGCTGTGCCGCGCGAAGCGGCTGAGATTGAAAAGCAGGAAATAAAGATCAGAATAGACTTGGGCGGGTGAGCAGGTCCAACAGCTGATCGTTGGAATGAACCGGTTCACTCACAGCTGATCGTCAGAGCTACCGGTTTGGCCGAAGCAGGCCTAACTGGTAGAATCACACACTGAATACAACCCTTTCTTTCTTCTTTCCTTTCTGGATTAATCATATATACGAATGGCTCAGTAGCAGCAGATTCTGTACCTTATATTTTCAACACACTGTACACCTTATGGATCCAAGATGGATCAAAGGACCAGGTTGGGAACAGATCCTTCTGAGGATTCTATGTAGGTGCTAAAAGTCAACACTGATTTAATGACATACAATCAGCCAAACTCCCTTGAGAAGCCATAATGCTGGAAAAGATGGAAGGAAAGAGAACGGAGATCAGTGAGAAGAAAGATGGACTCAGTTACAGGGACAATGAGTGCGTGAGTTCAACAGGATCTTCTCCAGATCATCTGGATAAATTTTACCTACGAGGTTGCTAGCTGGCTTGATAAGATATAAACAATCAATCATTCAATGAATCTTACACTTCAGCAAGAAAAACCAAAAGTACACATATACACTGGGTGAAACTAGGCTTAATAGCAATAACTGTGAGAGGGATCTTGGACAACCAACTAAATATGAGCCAGCGGTGTGCGGTAGCAGCCAAAAAAGCCAATGAAATCCTAAGTTGCATTAACAGAGGGATACAATCAAGAGCAAGTGAGGTACTAATACCACTCTATAAAGCCTTAGTAAGACCACACCTAGAGTACCGCATCCAGTTTTGGTCACCATACTATTAAAAAGATGTTGAGACTCTAGAAAGAGTGCAGAGAAGAGCAAGCAGGATGATTAGGCTAAAACATATGAAGAACAGTTGCAAGTACTTAGCCTGGCTAGTCTAGTGAAGAGAAGGACCAGGGGAGACATGATAGCAGTCTTCCAATATTTGAGGGGCTGCCACAGAGAGGAGGGAGTCAAGGAATAATGGATGGAAATTGATCAAGGAGAGATTCAACCTAGAAATGAGGAGAAATTTTCTGACAGTGAGAATAATCAATCAATGGAACAGCTTGCCGTCAGAAGTTGTGGGAGCTTCATTACTGGAGGCTTTCAAGAAGAGACCGGACTGCTGCTTGTCAGAAATAGTGTGGGGTCTCTTGCATGAGTGGGGGGTTGGACTAGATGACCTACAAGGTCCCTTCCAACTCTGTTAATCTATTGAATCTGAATCAGTCAGAGATAGATGAACAGAAATATGGGATATCAGAAATATTTTCACCTACAGCTACTTCAGGCAGAAAAATTAAGACATTTTAAAGTCCATGCCAACTGCCACAAACCTGTGTCTATAGAAAATGCCCAGTCTGGAAGGGTATATTTTTTAGGACAATTTAAAGCAACTTTATTGTCTCTCCTCTATTTATGTCTTCTGCAATCTAAGAAAAAGAAAGAACCACACATTTTAAACATTACCCTACTTCCCATACGTCCATCTGTGATTATGTCATCAGTCGCTGTGTGGCATGGAAGAATATTTTATGATGACAATGATTATCTGTTTTCATTAGAAAATTCACAAACCAGATACATTCTTTCTTGTGATTAATCTGGCTTCAGCCATTGAGTACAACTCCTTTAAGCCTGCATGAGAAGGATGTTTAATTCATTAGCTGAAATAATGCAACATTTTGACAGCACCATAAACCTTTTTCCTGGAGCTTTTGCAAACGGGTGGGGTGGGATAAAGAGCCCCTTCTTCCCCAAGGATTCTTGAAGTCTCCACGTCTTTGAGGCAAAGACGTTTTATCATTCTTTCTTTGCACTGTCTTCTGTTTACACATTTTCTTTTGCTGATTATTTCTCTAGGCTGCTTTTTCATGACAGGTCTGTCCAGACCCAAAAGTCTTCAGAACTTCAGAACATGCACACTACTCTTGAAAACATACAGCCTGCAAAAACACTTGGACAATCTCTTTCTGTGCCAATGAAATTAGCACTGCGTCTGCTGCATATCCTACTTTGTGTTTCTGGTCTGGGTCCATGACAATTTGCCATGGTCAACTTGCCATGGCCAACTCGCCATGGCCAACTCACCCTGGCTAACTCAGCATGGTCAACTCACTATGGCCAATTCACCACAGCCAATTTGCCACGGCCAATTCACTATGGCCAAATCACCATGGCCAACTTTGGCCAACTTGTCATGGTCAACTCACCATGGCCAACTCACCATGGCCAACTTGCTGCAGGACAACTCACCATGGCCAACTCGCCATAAGAAGCTCACCATGGCCAACTCACCATGGCTGACTCACCATGGCTAACTCACTATGGCTGATTCATCATGGCCAACTTGTTGTGGGACAATTTGCTGTGGGACATGAGTTACACTAATATCAAATAAATGATGGAATAGAATAATTAAAGAACTGACCTTGATGAGTTGACCATGGCCAGTTGGCTGTGGTAAGTTGGCAAGTCATCCCATTCCGTTCTGGGCCCTATGAACATCTGCCATTTGAGAACTAGCTCATACAAAACCCGGAACCAGTCATCAGGCCATTCATAACTATTGGTAAGTATTGAACTAATATAGTATGAGCTGAGTAAAGGGCTTAAATAAGGGTTTGGACAGGCAATTCTTTGGGAGAGTTGCTTTCTTTTTATGTAACATTTTTTGAGCCTAATGCAAGAATCCTTGTCCAAGCACCAGAAACTGCAAACTGGAGATGTCCAGCATGATCCTCATTGTGAAACAAGCTCACACACAAATCATAAAATTGGAGAGGACCACAGAATCATCTGATATAGCCAACTATTCATGAGACAAACTGGTACAGTGGAGGAACTAGACTAAAGGGCACCAGGAAAGGCCTTTAAGATAGGAGGAAGAACCATGATTAAGGCAGTGGTCAGATAAGAGAGGCCAGCTCAAGAAAGCAAACTGAGAAAACATCCCAGACAAGCCCGTCTGTAGTTCACATGAAGACAAACTGAGATTGGGGGAAGCACATTCAGACTTGCAAAATGTTGTTACTACAGCTATTACAATCAAAGAAGTTCTGACCTCTATGATGATGGTTTATTAATCCGATTTACCATGTTGGGCTGACAAGGACTCATCCATGTACCAACCTCAAAGAGCTGAGTCTACTACTCTTGAAATCAGAATGCTTTTATTGAGCAGGACGGAAAGGATAAGATTGCGTTTATGTGTACAACTTTCTGAAACTTCTGGATTCTACAAAAGAAGCAGATAAAAGGTTGAAGACCCCCGTGGCATGGTTTTGTTTAAAAGAACATTGTTTTGGATGAGGGATAGCTGGCCCTTCATGTCCCTCCATCAACAGGTGAGTGAGGACTTCTATGTCCATGCAACTCAGAAGGCCTCCAACTACTGCAGTTGTTTTGCTTGGTGTGAGCCCAGATGCCAATGCTGAGGGGTGTGATGTAAAACAAGAGAGGCTGGGATGAAGCCTGATGGATTTCTTCACTGGATGAAATGCCAGACACAGCTGTTGCTGTGCAATGCTTAGCAGAGAGAAAGGAAGCTGACCAGCTGTTTCTCATTTCCTCTGTTGCTGTGTGGCCAGCTCTTTGTTGTACAGAAGGGAGAGGAGAGATTCTCTCTTGCTGAATTACGGAATCCAATTCCAGCGTGGGAATATAGTGAGCAAAAGAGGAATGCAAATCCCTTGCTGGTTCAGGAGAGGGATGGGATCTACAGGCTGGGGTGGGTGGGGGGAAGCAGGTTATTATGGCTGGGATGCCGAGTAATAAGTATCTTTCATTAGCAACCTCAGGTGAGAGTTACAACTTTGGATCTCCTCCCCTATATGAATATTTCTCTAGATGTGTTGGGCTATAATTCTCAGCTTCCTTGGTCAGCTTGGCCCACAGACATGGGTGGAAAGAATTTCAGCCAAAAATGGCAGTGAAATTAAGAACGGCATACAGTTTTCTGTTTATGTCTCTGAAAAATAGCAATAGCAATAGCACTTCGACTTATATACCACTTCATGGTGCTTTACAGCCCTCTCTAAGTGGTTTACAAAGTCAGCCTATTGCCCCCAACAATTTTGGGCCCTCATTTTACCCACCTCAGAAGGATGGAAGGCTGAGTCAACTTTGATTCTGGTAGGATTTGAACTGCCGGCAGTACTGCCTGCAGCCAGCAGTCAGCAGAAGTAGCCTGCAGTACTACACTCTAACCACTGCACCACCAAGGCCAAAAATGACTTGGTAAGAAGGCTACTAGTAGGAAATAGGCAAGGTTTCATATGGAAATTCACTTCAGTTCTTAGAACATAGGACAATAGGATTGGAAAGACCCTTGGAGGTCTTCTAGTCCAAACTCTTGCCCAAGCAGGAAACCCCTATACTATTATGGACAAAGGGTTGTCCAATCTGTTCTTGAAAACTTTCAGTGATGGAGCATCCATGACTTCTGGAGGTAAGCTCTTCCACTGATTAATTATTCTCATTGTCCAGAAATTTATCCTTAGTTCCAGAATGGATCTACCTCTGTGGAATTTCAACTCATTGTTTCATGTCCTGCCCTCAAGTGCTTTGAAGAATAGGTTGACCCCCTCCTCTTCTCTTTGACAGCCCCTCAAGTATTGGAAGACTGCTGTCATGTCACTCTAGTTCTCCTCTTTGTTAGACTATTTTTATTGGGATATAGAAAGGTTCGAACATTGACCTTTTGTAGGCAAAGGAAGTTACCCTATCCAGTGGTGGAATGTTACTGGTTTGGACCGGTTCACTTGAACCGGTAGTCAAAAAAGCCTCCCAAGATCAGCTGAGAGGAGGGAAGAAAACCTCCCCAATCCGTTGAGAGGGTAAAGAAGAGAAAAGTGCGGCCCTACCACCTGCCCCTGTGCTTTTCTCTTCTTACTCCTCTCAGCAGGCCTCAGCTGGTATGGGGAAATCGGCATGTGTGTGTTAGGTGCATGCACATTAGGTGCGTGCACACACAAGTGCACGGTCACCGAACTGGTAGCGGAACAGATAGGAGGATCCTACTGCTGACCCTATCCCTCAGTCACAAACGATGACAGCAAATTTCCTATGAAGAAAACTCAAGAGGAACCCAGGAGGAAGAGAACCTAACCAGTATTTGGTATTTTGAATACATTTATATTTATATAGGGAGATACAGCTAAGTACATCAGAGTTGAGTTGATGGCTAAAGATACTAGGCTAGAAAGCAGGAGATTATGAGTTCTAGTCCTGTTTGTGGTTGAAAGCCAGCGGGGTGACCTTGACCCGGGCAGCCATTTTCTCTCAATCCCTAGAAGCAGGCAATAGAAAATCATTTCTGAAAAACTTGCCAAGAAAACTGCTTGGACTTGTTCATGTAGTTGCCAGGAGTCAAGATTGACTTGAAGACATCCACATACAAAAAGATATATTACAAGAGAGAGAGAGAGAGACAGAGACAGAGACAGAGACAGAGACAGAGACAGAGAGAGAGAGGGAAGGAGGGAGTGAGATGATAGAGACAGAGATGAGATATAGAAAGTTATGCTGTTTAGGTATCTTTATATCTAAACTATATGTATTCAAAAGCTCATTTTTTTTCCATATGGTATGATATAAACACACACGAATTGAAAAGCTGTATATATGAGCTAACATGGCAAACCAAAAACTGTATGAGCTTGGCGAAGTATGCCCCAAATTCCACACAATTTTTTTTACCAAGCTAACCTTTTTGCTTGGTCAAAATTGACACAAAACAATGGATAGAAACTCATCAAGGAGAGAAGCAACCTGGAATTAAGGAGAAACTTCCAAACAGTGAGGACAATTAATCAGTAAAACAGCTTCCCTTCAGAAGTTGTGGGTGACCCATCACTGAAGGTTTTTAAGAAGAGACTGGACAGTCACTTGTCTGGAATGGCATAGGGTCCTCCTGTTAGATCAGTGGGCTAGATTAGAAGATTTCCAAGGACACTTCCAGCTCTATTCTGATTCTATTAAAAAAAAAACAACCCACACCTAAATCATAACAGGTGATCCTAAATGAGGAAAAGAGATATACCATAGATGGAAGAATTATCCATCGCCTATGTTTTAGCTTTCAGGAATATCATTGCTAAACGGGGTCCCTCCACTTCTTGTCAACTATGGGAACCTGGTACCAGAGACTCCCACACCCCCAGATGAACATAGAGAGATCTTTCTAATACCACCCTTCCGAAAATCTTTGTCACTCTCTTTCCATGTTGCTCTGTTTCTCAAACCCCAGGCTTCTTGCAAACCGTGGCGAAATGTTTTTTGTAGAGGGCCAAGCTTTGCCACAAACCAGCCCATTGGCATGGCAGCCTTGGGAACAATGTTCGAAATTACAGTTACGATTACACAGGCCCCGGGGTGGTGGTGGGTAGGATGGTGTGTGTGTGTGTGTGTGTGTGTGTGTGTGTGTGTGTGGTGTTGGGGAGGGGAGCAATAAAGGATGTGTGCAGCTGCCACACTTTGGAGAAAATCGGGGGAGCTGCGGATGTGAAACCCAAGACCACTTGCATAAGAGGCCTCCATGGCTGTCGAGCGTTGCGTTGTTCGGATTTGTCCGGGAGAGGCAGCTGGGAGGGGAAACTGGGGAGGGACGGGGGAGGGGGGGGAGGACAGACAGAAGAGGATCTTCTGATGGTCTCCTGGAACTCAGGCGCTGGGGGAATTAACAGCTGGAGGCCTTGAAGGCCCCCAGTGGGTTTTTCTTCTTAATTTGCGCAATCTATCTTTAGAGAACTGTCTGTTCATTTCTGAGAAGGGGTATCAGCTCTTGTGCAGGGGCTGGCAAACCACTTCCTGCAAGCGTTAACTGAACTGGGAGGGCATGGCCCCCCTCTCCAAATACCCTATTATTTCACTCTCACCCACACCCACTTGCACACACAAACACACACACTCTCTCTCTATCTCCCTCCCTCACACACACACACACACACACACACAGACCAGCTTGTTGGCACCACAAGAATATACTGGGCCAGACTTCAAATTAGAGAAACTAATGATATATCATCAGCATTAAAAAAAAACAAACGAAGGCCCTTTCCATTGATTTGCCAAGCAGGGCTTTTGGTGTGTGCAGGGGGTTTTGTGTGCGTGTGTGTGTGTGTGTGTGTGTGTGTGTGTGTGTGTGTGTGATATAAATGATCAGGGCTAGTATCTTAGGCCTATTCTGAGGGATATGCAGCTCACCCATGCTAATCACACAGTTATATTCCGGTCACCCCAATATAAAAAAAGATTTTAAAATATTAAAAAAATAGACTTTGGAAAGAGTGCAGAGAAGAGCAACAAGGGTGATTAGGGGGCTGGGGACTAAAACAGGTGAAGGAGGGTTATTGGAATTGGGTATGTCTAGTCTAATGAAAAGAAGGACTAGGGGAGACATGATAACAGGGCTTCCAGTATCTAAGAGGCTTCTACAAAGATGCAGTCAGTCAGACTATTTTCCAATAAGCAAGGCAAGAAACAGTGGATGGAAACTAACCAAGAAGAGAAGCAACCTAGAACTAAGGAGACATTTTTCTAACGGTGAGAGCAATCAACTATTCTTTGCATGTTTTAACTTCCAGACCCCAAATCATCTTTGTGGCTCTTTTCTGCATTCTTTCCAGTGCCTCAACGTCTTTTTTATAATACGGTGACCAAACTTGATGCAGTAGAATTTTTAACCGTCACAATCTGTGTTGGGGAGAGGTCATCTTTAGGTACCTATTGTTTGGAAAGGGGGTGAAAAGGAGAGAAGAAACTCTTCTTGTATCTTTTCAGAGGTAGGAAATGCAAGAAACAAGATGCTGAAGCCAATGGGAATATAGGAAAGCATTGCAGTGAGTCAAATTATGTCTTCTTCTAGCTCAACTTCATTGATACCAACACACAGAAACACCCCAGAGTTCATGCAGGCATTAATAAACCTCAGAAGAGATGGTGGATAAAGAAAGGATATGATTGTAGAATGTTGGCCTTTCCCATGTGAATGTCCAGTACTTCTTGCTAGCATGCCCAGTAATAAAGAATGAGGTGTAAGAGATTACCTGGTTGAACCCAAGAAAGAAGTCAAGGTGTCATCATCTTGGAGTCCCTTTGCTACCCACAGGAGTTCTAAATCCCACCCTCCTTTAATTCCACTGACTCTTATCTGCCACCAATTTGCCTTGACCATTAGTAATTCAGATTGCTGTAGAGAGCTAGTGTGGAATAAACTAACATTCATTTGAACAGCCTTGGTTCTTGATTTCTCGCTCTTGACAGGAGGGAACTATAGTTCATGGTGTTGAAAGGCTGGAAAATGCCTTTCTTCTGAGGATTTGATTTTCCTGCTGGGAGAGCTCCGGTGCAAGGATACAGACAACTGCTTGAAAGCTGGTTCTTTTTATTTTTCAGGAAGGCGAGAGATAGCATGAAGTCTGCGTTCCTGGGGCTAACTAGCTTTGTATAATAAACTCCTGATTTTTATACTTTTTTCCTCCTTTTGTGTGCGAGTGCTTGTATTTGTATTTCTTAATGTTTTAAATCCTGTCAGGGGTTGTCTTCATTTCCGCCAGAGGGTAAACTCCGCAGGGTGGTTTGATTGGATTATCAGTTTCGTCCTAATGTTTTCTTATATTTGTTTTGTGGCAATCTCCTGTCTGTCTCCTTTGCAATATATTTTGTGTCTATTTGTTTTGCTGATTTGGCATGACCTGTTGTTTGTAAGGGATTTCTTTTTCTTGTTTCCCTAGCTTTCTTAATTACTTGGCTTTTGTCTAGGGGGCTTCTTTCAATACCTTTTATTAAATCTCTTTTCCTATGCAAGTTTGTTTTCTGGCTGGCCTGATGTTCCCTTTGGGCTTTTCCTGCTTGGGTGTCACCACTGTCCCTTTCCACAATGTAATCTAGGTGCCTTATCCCAGCAGTAGAGTCGATTTCTGTCCAGAGAAGAAGGTCATTGCTCCTAAGCAAGATACCCTTGGAGCTTTTGACACTCCACAATCTGGTTCACCATTTCTCTGGAGCTTATCAATCAACTTAACCAACCAGGCCTCTATCCACTTAGGAATGGAGAGGCTTTCAGCTGCTTTCAAGGCAACTTTTAGCCAAGTCTTATCTCAATTTATGACCCATACAAGCAGTACACTTTTGTGGACGTCAGTGTCAGGAATTAACAGGATTTTGACTGCACGCCATAGGGACTTTAGCCATTCTAGATCAAACTGAAGTATGTCTTCACTTTGTTTTGCCAAAGCAAATATCCCTACCTGAGGACTTCCTGGACTTTGATCCCTATGATTCTCCAGTACTTGAGCTGGGAATGATCAATCAATTGATCGATCAATTAATCAGAATAGAGCTAGAAGGGACCTTGGAGGTCTTCTAGTCCAACTTCTTGTTCAAACAGGAGACCCTATACCAGAGGTCTCCAAACTTGGCAACTTTAAGACTTGTGGACTTCAGTTCCCAGAATTCTCCAGCCAGCTGGCTGGGAAATTCTGGGAGTTGACATTCACAAGTCTTAAAGTTGCCAAGTTTGGAGGTAGGTGGCTATGTAGTCTTTTCTTGGAAACCTCCAGTGATGAAGCACTCAGAACTTCCAACGGCAAGATGTTCCACTGGTTAATTGTCCTCACTGTTGTGAAGTTTCTCCTTAATTGCAGGTTGCTTCTCTCTTTGATTAGTTTCCATTGTTTCTTGTCTTACCTTCTGGCGCTTTGGAGAATAATTTGACCCCCTCCTCTTTGTGGCAGCCCCTCAAATACTGGAATGCTGCTATCATGTCACCCCAACCTTCTTTTCTCTAGACTGGCCATACCCAATTCCTGCAACCATTCTTCATATGTTTGGGATTGATAGGATGGGATTGTTACATCTGGAGGACATCAGGTTAGGGAAGGCAATCCAAAGGGATCGGCTTGCCCATCTTGGGGTGGGTTGCTTTGCTTGGTGGGCCTCTTTGTTTACTCCCATTAGACCAGTCAGATGGAGGAACTGTTGGAACTGCAAGCTTCCCACCCAACAGCTATCTGTGGCCCCAGGGCAAACAAACACTGAATTTCAGAGAAAGACACTTGGATAAGATCCCCTGGTGTGAAAGAGACACAAACATTGCTGGCTGGAGAGGAGCCTTATCTGCCTTGTCCACTGAAGACAAATCAGCTCGCCTTTGTTGATGAAGGAATGAAGAAACTCCTTTCTTTAATCTTCCCCAAACAGATTATATCTGCCCTACTTGAGTTTCTTCTTTGCAGGCTTAGAGGTATTATTTTCCTTATGTCAAGGAAAGATCCCTTTATTTCTAAGACTGCCGATTTTCTGAATGGGAGCAAGGACAGTTCACCAAAGAAGGCATTATTATTATTAATTATTATCTCTTCTATTCATTAAACATGAGACTCAGTCAACTGAACATTTTAAAATTCATCACAGATATCATTGACTGGTACTGATGGTTGATACAGGTTGCTGCCAGCATCCTAGGTATCAACCAAGTATCTTCTTAAAATGTACGATGTTCCAAGTAGTGCAGTTTTCTTGCAGTTCTGCTGGTGTTATTGCAAGAAGCTGCAATTTCTTGATGTATTTTGCAAAATTCTTGGACATGGTACCAAATGCCCCGATGGCAATGGGTATCCCTGTCACATGTTTCATCCACAATTGCATAGCTTCGATAGTCAGGTTGTGATGTTTTGTGATTTTTTTTCTAGTTCTTTTTCTTAGACTCTGGCGCTCCAGGTACAGCGATATCAATGAATTGTATGCCTTGTTTTTTAATGACTGTGATATCTGACATGTTGTATTCTAAATGATGGTCTGTCTGTATTCTATTATTATTATTATTATTATTATTATTATTATTATTATCCCGTTAGTACATGTAAAATTAAGTATGTTTTCCCTTTGTCATACTAATCTGGTAATATACCCACCAAAAATATCTCTGGTTTCAAATCTACATGTTGTTTACCATTTTTTTCTAACCAAGTATGTATTTTAGTGCAATATGCTTTTTGCAGAAGGAGTACATCATTGTAGTCCAGGGGTGTCAAACTCAAGGCCCGCAATGGGGTTAGCTCCGGGCCATCCCAGTCTGCTCGTGTCGCTTCATCCCGGTCTACCCAATTGAGGGAGGAAAGATCAGGCCAGTGAAGCTTCGGCTCGGTCTACCTGGTGCAAAGAGAAAAGCCAGCCAAGCTTTAGCCCAGTCTACCCAATTAGGCCAGCGTGGCTTCGGCCTGGTCTGCCTGGTGCAAAGAGGAAAACCAGCGAAGCTTTGCCCTGGTCTACCCAATGCAGTGAGGAACGATCAGGCCAGTGAACCCCCAATGTCCAGGTGTAACCACGAAAACTTGAACCCAGGATTGAGAAAGCTTGAGAAGAGCCTTCAGAGTCAACTGTTGAATCAAGATGTTTCTTCTTTCAGGTGGGCACGATGGAGAAGGGACCTGACATCCTTCACCCCAAATCCCCCTCCTCTGTTTCAAGATATCTTCCTCTTCCCCTCAGCTTTCCCCAGAGAGAAGAAAGGAAGGGATGGAGCAGCCCTGAAGTTTGAGGTTTTAAGGAGGAAAGACTTGGCTGTGGGTTTCACCTCTTTCTTTACCCTGTCCGAATATGAGGTTATTACCCGTTAGGCAATCCAAGCCATGATTCAAAAGAGATTGGGCCTAATCCTGATCATCCCAGCATCCCTGCCTGCTGAAACCCGGAGGAAGACTCTCTGCCTGTGGGTTTTGTGAAAGGGATGTTTTGAGGGAGGAATTAAAAAAATCAAAATACTTGAATTGAATGCTGAGGTTTATTTGATTCTCAAACTACAGAACTAGCAGAAGGAAACTTACAGAAGAAGAGAAAAGGGAAAGATGACGAGGTGTCAAAGAATGCAGGGGAGAGGGGGATGATGGACCATCTGGTGGTAAAGGCCACAAGCATAAATTTTCAAGGATGGTCCACGATGGATGAGAGCAAAACTCAAGGAATTTAGCCACTTGTAGAGCTTTTTGTTGCATTTGTCAGTTTCGCAACACACAGCCACCACATTGGCACTGCTTTTAGGGCAAACAGTAGTACCTCCCCTGATGACTTCATATTCTGTGAAGGAAGCACAAAGCAGAATGATTATTTAAAAAATACCAAAGAACTGGCTGTTGCTGAACAAAATGGTAAACCCACGCTGAACACATTCATGCATCCCCTGCCAGTAGGAAGGCAGACCTCCTTCCTCCTCTACTCAAAACTCAGGAGTAAATGAATGGAGAAGAGATTTCTGGGAAAGTCCTGAGTTTCGACATGACACAGGGGAAATGGCACCTTTCTTGGATGTTTCATGGCTTCATCCAATTTCCCTCAATTCCTGAACAAACCTGTAGGTCTCCCAATCTTTCCCTCCCCCTTTCTCTAAAGAAGGTTTTCCCCCTCCCATCTGGGCTGTTGCAGAGAAAAATGGGGCTCTCCAGTCCAAGGCTCCCCTTTCCTTGCATTGCTTAGAGTGTCCCGTAACAGGCCGTGACCTCAGAGGAACCCAGGCAGGGCACAAACAGGTCCTACATGACCTCCAACTCTCAGGTGCATTTGGGAGCTCTAGTTTGGGTTCAAGAAGAAGAAAAGCTGTGAGAGAAGATAAGAACTGTGCTTACTAGATGGAGACACCTTAATAGTCACTTTAAAGGATCTGCCAGGGGGGACAAGTTTCATACAATAAAGGAAGCGATGTGTTGAGGCCTTTCCTAGTGTATCCTGGATGAAAGATATAAAATATAGAAATATTACTTTGATATTTATTTTTCTGATCTTGTAATTTTATTACATATTAGATGATAGATCTTTTCATACAAAGTCACCTGAGAAAATTTCCCTAGAAAGATCAAATGCTCTAGAAATAGGAAAGCTGAGTTCTAGGCCCACCTTAGGCATGAAAGCCATCTTGGTGACTCTGGGCCAATCACCAGGAGACAGTGAGTTCTAGTCCCACTTTAGGAATAAAAGACAACTTAGCAACCTTGGACCATTCACTGGGAGGAAGGAGTATTAGGTTTCTTCGCTCCCTTGGGTCATTACAAAGCTTCATAACTATAGCAATTAGACTTTTGTATCACTTCACAGTGCTTTGCAGACCTCTCTTTACAGAGTCAGCCTATGGTCCCCAAAAATCTGGGTCCTCATTTTACCAACCACAGAAGGATGGAAGGCCGAGTCAACCTTGAGCGGGCGAGGATCGAACTACTGACCTGCAGGCAGTCAGCAGTAGGTAGAATTAGCCTGCAATACTGCATTTTAACCACAGCGCCACAATAGCTGGGATAAAAACTGGGGTAAAAAAACCCTCTAAGCTCTTCTGAAAAAGGCCATGAAATGAAAGCAAATTGAAACCTAAGTGGCTGGTCTCTCTGTGGAAGCTAAGCAGGGTTGGCATTGGTTAATCTTAGGATGGGAGACCCCCCCCCCACAAAGGTTGTATGAAAGTTTGGGGTGTCTCAGAAATCCCAGCAAGCAGCAACCAATGTCAGATTGATGTTGAGGAATGTCCAGGCTTGACATGAAGGAGTCATCACTGGTCCCCTTTGGCTGTACCATCCAAAATACTGAAGGATGGCAAAGCCAGAGAGAGGGGCACAGAAACATTTTTCATCTCATTCCCTGGAGTAATCCCATGGCAGAGCTCACTACGCAAAGGAACTTCTACTTTCAGAGGTAGTCTTCCCCAGAATGCCAGCCTGGAACAGCCCCTGTCTCAGCCATGGGCTTCTCTCCAAATGGAGACCTCCTCTTCTCCCCCAAAGGCTCCCATGGACCCTCCTTATGCAGACCAGAACAGTGAGAAAGTCCCACCCCAAAAAAGGGACCACAGCTGCCTCAAATAGCCTCCCTCCCTCTGCCCCTTTGTTTTGGGTTTGATTGCCACCGAAGAACAAAGTTTGGCGGCCTTACCTAAGTCCAGGCACATGATTGTCACCACCACCAAGGTCAGCAACAGACTTTTCATCTCGTGGTCTTCTCTGGAGCCTGCAAAGTGTAGGCCAGAATGGAAGCAGACACTCTGAGATGGGGTGGGTGAATGGGGCTGGATATCTAATATATCTAGAGAAGAACAGGAAGATTCAGTGGGAAAGGGAAGTCCAGGGGATGTGGCCTTTTTGCCCCTGACACCAAAATGGAAGCCAGATCAGATCAGGTGAAGAACCAATCTTTCCCTGTCTTCAAGACAAATGCTTCCCTTCTGCATACAAAACCTGGGCACCTGGACAATTGGCATCTCTTCCTGTATTTATACAAGATTATACAATCCTTAGATAACACAAAATTAAACAAAATATCTCTCTGCAAAGTTCAGCGCCTTCCTATTTTTTATTTGTACTTCAGTTAACCAAGTGGACAACTTCTCTGAATCTTCTAACTTCCTCCTTCTGCCTTCCTTCAAGAAACATGGCCTCCTTTGAGCAGATCGGAGCATGAGTGGTTGTCTCGAAAACTATCCTGTGGACTAAAGGATTCACAAGATACCAAAGTCAGAATAAACAAGGAAGACAGCTAGAGGGTTGGTTGAACATGGCAATAGGGTTTCTGGTACAAAACTACGAACAGGAACAGCAGGACAGATGATTCCAAGGGATGCCTTGAGTCATAAGTCAACAATTCCTGCAAAGAAAAGATCTTCTTACTGATGACTTTAAATCCAGAAATTCCTCAAAACTGTGAGAGTCCTGGAAAGAATAGTCTTGCCACCCATAAAATCCCTTTCTCCTTGATAGGTGTTCATAAAGAAGATCTTCACAGATCAAACCTGGCTTTTATTGTGCCCTACAGTAGCTCAATCCCTTGGTTCTGATTAGTTTTCAACAATAGATCAAGAATATGCTGATTGTTAGAATCTTAAGCAGAAAATTGTTTTTGTCTAACATGAAATAGGAGGCGAGAAGGTCAGTTGGGGCCCCCAGAAAATCCTTCATCAAAGGATAACAGATTTCTTAGGGCTGTGAGAAAATTCAGAGATCCAGAGGAAAAGGAAAAATTTCCAGACCAGGACGGAAAGCAGATGCAAAGAAGATCCAGGTTCTGTTCCAGGGTGGGTGGCGTCAAATGGCTTCACTCAGAAGAAAACGAAGGAAGTTTCTCAGGACAGTATTCAGTCACCACCCAACAAATGTATGTTTCTGAATTTCCTCCTGTGGTTCTACAAATTGCTTAGATGAGATTCAACTGTAATTTGGCCTGAAATATCAAGAACTTCATCTACAGAATCAAGAATATTGGAAATATGGAGAAGCCAGAGAGAATGTTTTTTCTAACCCCAAGCAGTGCAAGAGTCCACCCCTAAAATTTGCTTGGAAAACAGTGGGTCAATATGAGTATAAGCTATGCGAAGTAAGTTTTATGTAACGAACACATTGTGTGTTGCTGCTTTTGTCATTCAGCAACATTCAAAAGGTGTAATCAAACTTTTTACAGTTGGCAGAGGCAAAAGTGAAGGATAACAGGCTTTACTGCAATAAAGTAAAACAGCCCTGACTTTCTGCAAGCTATCCAGGCAGCTGGCTGACAGAAAACAGCTGATTCCATTTGACAGCTCCTTTTATACTGAGCTGTCAAACGGAATCAGCCAATCAGGGAGGGCTCCGGCTCCTGCTCAAAAAGCAGACTGGAGTGAAGTCTTTGGCTAGATGCAGCAAAACTGATTCCCAGGGCAATCTCAGATTTCCCATTGCAGATACATACGCTGACCGTTAGAAACGGAATCAGGTCATTTTCTTTTGTCGGACACCAAAGGGGAGGTGGGAGAATGAAGTGGGGTGGGTGGGGATCTCAGAAATTCTTTCATCAGAGGAAAAACAACCTCTTAATGCTGTGAGAAAACCCACAGAACCAGGGAAGAAGGAGAATCTTCCAGGCCCGCATTATTATAAAGAAGATTATTATTATTATTATACACAGAAATGACAATATACACAGCAAACGAGATAACTAAGCTGGGTTTTGCATTACAAATCACCAGTCGAACACTTCCCAAGTGTTTAGGACTGCGTGATGTATTGATGGATTATGCGAGCAGATACCAGTAAGGTGGCCTTCTGCATGTGACCAATGGTGATCTTGTCAGTGCCAATTGTTTTCAAGTGCTTGCCTAGGTCTTTAGGCACAGCACCCAGTGTGCCGAGTACCACTGGAACCACTTGCACTGGTTTATGCCAGAGTCTCTGCAGTTCGATTCTCAAGTCCTGATATCTGGCGAGTTTTCCAAGTTGTTTCTCACCGATTCTGTCACCGAGTATGGCAATGTCGACGATCCACACTCTTTTCTTCTCCACGATCATGATATCTGGGGTATTGTGTTCCAAAACTTTGTCAGTCTGTATTTGGAAGTCCCACAGTAGTGGGACTTATTATTACCATTATTATTATTATTATTATTATTATTATTATTATTATTATTATTATTATTATTATTATTCTTACAATTACAACACACTGATTGGAATTGAGGACTCTCTTGGAGTAAACGCTAAAGAACCTAGTAAGTCTAAATCCTGACAATATATACAAATTACTCTTAAGTTGCAATAGGTGCAGCACTGTGAATTACAGTGTTGTTCTTAAAAACATGGCAGCTTATACAACCAGTCACTCAAAATTTTATATAGGAAGTCAATGCTGAACATAGAAATTGCAAGAAGAAGCAAAGGAGTGGAGGGAAGAATGAATGAATGAACAAATGAATGAACATATACATATTTCCCAATTGTTTTTGTTTTTGTTCCAGTTGAGAATGTGAACCAGACTGATAATGTTAGTGATTGAAATCAGGAGTGCCACGTTTTTTTGTAATATAACAGACTACATTCTTAGTTGTTGATATTACCATTCGGCAATTTAATGTGATCAATATATTTACTAAGAGTGTCTTCTTACACATCTTCAACTCTCTGGTTAGGATCTCCAATGGATTTGGATATGGATTTGGTTATGGATTTGGGATGTATTCTGGAGTGTTGATTCTTCTCCCAAAATGGCGTAGAGGCGGGACTTTCCAGATAAGAGTATGGCTTCCGTGGACAATAAAACAGAACTTACTGATCTCTTTCCTGATGTTCTCTGATGCTTTTGTTTACTTTGGTGCTTCTTCTGGAATAAGGGCACTTTTCTGAAGAACAGCAAGCCTTCATTCTTGTTTATTGGAGATATATGTGGGCACATTGGCTCACTGAACAGCTGCAGCTCTTCAAGCACCAGCTGAATTCATTGCTCAGCGCTGGTTTTCTATCTCCAAAAGGAACAAGAAATGCTCCAGGTGGCCAAAATAAAATAAAATAAAATAAATCCCCCCCTCTTTAATCACTGGAGAGAGGATTCCAACCTAAATGGGAGACATGGAAAAAACAGAGATCCAATCCATTCAAGCCACACACAAAGTTCTTATGATTAGATTTGCACTTTTTAAGAACCTCTTTGCAATGAGGTCCTACTGGATCTTCTCAATACCCCTATGAAATAGGTCAAACTGAGTCATCTTTATTGGTTTATTTACCCACTAAGCTATCTTGTCTTTTAACAATAATTATTGCCAGAAGCATTCACAAAAACTGGTCAAGGGTGCATCAACATAGGCCAACTTTCCTCAGCTTGTGATTCTCTGGAGTTCTTGAACTATGAAGCCAATGAGTGCAGGGGTGGTATTCAAATTTTTTAACAACTGGTTCTGTTGGTTAGTTGGTGGGCATGGCTTGGTGTTCATGTTATTGGCTGGGCATGGCCAACTCAATATCACTCACATCGAGGCATGCATCTCCTCGCCTGGCCTCTCATGACTGTGGGGATGCTGCAACAGTTGTAAGTGTGAAAAATGGTCAAGTCACTTTTTTCAGTGCCATTGTAACTTTGAATGGTCACTCCACACAAGCAAAGTACTAGCAAAGGAGGGAAAAAAACTCCAGAGAAGTTCCAGAGACAGGAAGTCTAGTCCTTCCCAGAATGTAATAAGGGTTAATGGAGAGACAGTTTCTGTAAGCAACTCCATAATGTTTCCTTCCTGCCTTCCTTACAGGTTTAGGCCAGTAATTTCTTCTAACAACCGGTTCTCCGAACCGCTTAGAATGTTAACAACTGGTTAACCCGCCCCCTTATCGGCACTGCACATGCATGTGCCTCCCAGCTGATTTTCTGTTTGAGGCTGTTTATGCCCTCCTGGACGCTCAAGAACAGCCTCTGCAGCCTCAGGAGGCTGAAAACAGGCCCCTTTTGGAACTTCTGGAAGGCCTGTTTTTTGGCCTCACAAGGCTGTAGAGGCTTCCCTTGAGTCTCTGGGAGGGTAAAAACGGCCTCAAACGGGCTGAAAATCAGCTGGGAGGTGCACGCATGTGCAGTGCGGGTAAGTTTAGCCTGGGCTTGCTTGCCTGCACAAATGGCTCTGCGTGCTACCTGTGGCACTTATGCCATAGGTTCACCATCATGGGTATAGGGTCTCCTGCTTTGAACGAGAGATTGGACTAGAAGACCTCCAAAGTCCCTTTCAAGTCTGCTATTCTGAAATCTTCTGCAGCAAATGGGTGCTTTCTGAGAATGAAAATCAGCTGGAATCTAGATAAGGGGCTGTTCTACCCGCCCCCCACACACACATACAAACATCACCACAATCTCCTCCTCTTCTAGGAATCATTAACAAAAAAGACTTGGAGAAAGTCCTGTGGTTACCAACGGAAAGAAACAAGTTCCTTCCAATCAGGCAGCACACCTTGTCCATTGTGGTAAGAATTACTGTAATAGGCTTATCCAAGACATTCAGTAACCACATATTTACACATAGCAGTTTTGTGAATGAAAAGTTACAAAGCGTTTTTGGGTAGTAATTTTTCAAAGTCATCATTGGGACGATGTTTTCCTTGCTGGTTTGTACGATTTTTATGGGAAGTTTGTCAGGTATTGAGACAGACAAGCAGAACAAGGAGGGGGAAAAAAAATCTTAATAAAAGACTTGTCAATGGTATGTGTTGCAGTGTTATTCAGTAA